TAATTTTGTCCAAATTAAAAATAAATGATTATAAAATAATATAAAAATTAACTCACCTATAAAAGCAGCGCGGGTTTCGCGCTTAGTGCAGCACTTCCAAAACTTCATGTCAGTCACAAAATATTAGCCCTTGGAGTGATGACGCCGCGGGCAGCCGCTAACTCAACTTGCCATTGTCAATCTGACTGGTTGCCGAAGAAACAATGAGTTTTGTTTACAAATTGGGAGACGGACGACGCGCAGTATTTTTATTAAATTGTTAAGTGGCCGGCGAGACCAATGAGAAGAGCAGCACGAGTGCGACGAACGCACACCCCCGACAGACAATCTCCGGTCGTAACTTTGCACCGACCGACCAATTGAAGAAGGAAAGCGTAGGTTGCATGATCTAGATTAGTCCTGCATTATGTATCTTCGATGGACTTAAAAAAATATTTATTTTGAAATAAATGAAAAATGACATGCTAGTGTAAAAAAAGTTTATTTTCTATCACATTGTCTTCCTACGGTATTAATCTTGAAACATATAGATGCCAAATACAATGCTAAGGGCAAATCACTACTATTCGAAGCTAATTTGATCAACTTTTTTTAAATTTTTTCCCAAAAACTACTGAATCGTCACCACAAAATACTCGGACAACTCACATCCGATACCTTATGTATGAGCATGTAAGCACCCGAATCTATTTTATGGATACGATAAAACTTTGTTCATGAAATATTTCATCGAAGACGACAGTCAATTATGATTGATTTCATTAATTTTATAGAATAATTAGCTTAATTTGAGTATTTATGTCGTGTCGATCCAAACCTAGTTTTCCGCTTTTGAGTACTAAATCGCTCCAATTTGCTTCGAATGTCAACTTTTTAACTTTACTGCACTATAAAAATACATAGGTAAGCATAAATTCTAGGCACAATCCTGCACTGTCTATAAGTAAAAATATGATTATACACTTATCATGTACTCGTATAAGTTAAAAATATTATGTCTATCTTAACTAAAAACACGTCAAGATAGAATTTCGCTTCACGATTGGTGTTTGGTAGTCTTAAAAATATTTGTATGAAAATACGCCTTTATAAAATAATAATTGATTCGATTCTCACCATATTATTGAAATTAAATCGCATATCATATGGATGATAATAGTAGATAAAAGCCTTGGAACTTGACTGATCTTAAGACATGTTTTTTTAGAATTTACGTACAATTTGTTCTTATCGAATCATCAACGAAAGTAAACTATTAGCTACTCTTATTTGGAAATATTTTTACGTAAAACACTACGCAAAATGTTGATTTTCACATTGGCTTGAAATTTTAAAATTTCAAAAATATCCTGAATAAAAATACTAAATTGTTAAACTGTCGTAAGAAAATGAATTTGGATAGACTGTATAATCTAAATAAGTGACCGCCTAAAAGAGATTTTAAAATACTCGTAAAATATTACAACGCAATATAAAAGCAAATCGTAAAAAAAATATTTAGTAATGGTATGTTTCGTTTTTAAAATGATTAATGTTCATTTTTCATTTTGGATCAAAAAACAATTTACCGTTAAAGTTTTAAAAGGTTGAGGGAGGCAACAGGCGACCCTCGCGCCGGCGGCTTTCTCGCGCAAAGAATTGCAATCGCAGTTCAACGCGGGAATGCTGCCTGCGTGATGGGCACCCTGCCAAGAGGCCCAGGCCTCTTATTTAATTAGTTATTTTATTTTATTTTTAAGGTTTAGTTTTAGTTATTTTAATTTAGTAATAGTTTTAGTCTAGTATTATTTTTTTTTGAGGTAAAGTTGTTTTGTTACACAATGTCATTTAATTGAGAAGTTGGTTTTAATAAATCTCCAAGAAAAAAAAATTTACCGTTTATTACTCCGAAACAAATCAAGATATTTAAAAAAAAAATACATTGCTATTACGTGGCCTGAAACTACGAGAGAAATATTTACTTATGTTGTGGTGCCTTTTTAGAATATATATTTTTAGTTAAGATTTCTTTTTTTTTTTGGATATATTTATCATATAAGAAACAATGAGCTGGTGACACTTCTGTTCTACCCTATTTAACTTAAATCTCATAATTTTCAAGTTGTTTGGATATTTCTTACTCAATTACGAAGGAAAAACTAAACAATAGACATAATAACTTAACTGTTTTTTGATGTTAAAGTATCGAAGTATTTTTTGTTAAATATTATTACATAGTTATTAATTACGCATTTTAGTGCATATGAATTTCATACTTTATCGATAATTTGGCAGTAAATACCTAAAAAGCTAGGAAATACAAAATACAAAAATAGATTGTGGTATTTATATGATGCATTTTTTTTTAAATTATGCATCACCAAAAATCAAATTCATAGTGTGCCTAAGATGTGAAATATATGTTCAAAAGAACATTGCGTAATTTTGCTTTTAGTAAAGTGGTTCATTTACAATATGAGAAAAGCAGAAATAATATCGATTTGTTTTATATTTGTTCATACAACACTAATAAAATAATCAATGAATTCAACGGAAAGCAAAGCAATAGAATTAAATAAGTATGCAACATAATATGGTATTTTATATTGTGTAATATACGGTTATTTCTAAAACCCACTAATAAAGAAAAGAAATAAGAATATTTATGAATATTAAGAAGGGCTATCAATTTGTTATACTTAGCCTTAAAATGCTTTTAATTTGTAAGTAAGATATTGCCAGGAAGTCGCTTTATAACGAAAGGTATGTTAGTCTAATCAACGAGTGATTTTATGGTCAACTTTTTTCAGCAGTCTCGGAAAAATATGAACCAGGTGTCTCAATCGATTGATTGATTTAAAAAAAAATAACGTTCCGCTTGCAAAGATTGCAAAAGTATACCCACTTCGGACACTATCAATAAAAATTATTTAAATATAAAATTTAAGAAATGAAAAAATTCAGGGCCTTACTGGATAGATAAATGAACAATAATTTTCATCCCTCTAGAAACATTATAAATATCCTACAGTTCCGGGAGTCGTAGCTTTTTTTTTAGGAAATTACCTCCTCTTTTTAATCTTTCTGATTGGAGAAGTCTCAATTAGTTTTTGAGATATTTGCAAAAAAGACTAAATCCTGTTTTATTTTTTTAAATAATCTACATCTACACTACTATTATAAAGAGGAAAGATTTGTTTGTTTGTTTGAATTGAATAGGCTCCGAAACTACTGGACCGATTTGAAAAATTCTTTCACCATTAGAATCCTACATTATTCCTGATGAACATAGGCTATGTAATATTTTCAAAAAAGTTAGGGATCCGTATGAAAACTTCATTAATGTAAACCAAGGTGTAAAAAAAATACCAAAAAGAATCCTTATATCGCGTACGCTCCGGAAACTATTGATAATAGAGCAAAGTAATGTACTTCACTTTTATAGAGGATATTAATATCTACAAAAAAGTCTGCAATACCATATGTTTAACTATTACAGTTATGTCACAATAGCTACTTTTTCATGTTAAAACGTGAAATAGTAACGCCGGTACAAATACTACGAATACGTACTGATACGAATAATGTGGCCAAGACATTATTAATAATATCAGTACCTGTATCATGCATAACCACCAATTACGTTAACCATGTAATTTTAGTAACATATTTCATTTTTAAATCTTTGTTAATTCAGCAACCGTCCGTCGTGATGTCTCTCTCGAAGTTCGCATGTCGCAAGGCGCAGATCCGTGATATACGCGGGTGAAATCGAGGGGCACAGCTAGTTGTTTATAACTTTTGCAATTTTTGCAAGCGGAATTTTTCTTCATAAATCATCTACAGCTATTCCGAATCTAATAATTACACCTGGTTCAAATTTTTCAGAGACTGCTGAAAAAAGTTGACCAAAAAGACACACGTTGACTAAACTATGTAGCCTTAAATAATTATAATTAAGAATAACTTACATTCTTTAACAATTTTATGTATACATCGTTGCAATAAATTTGAAGTATATAGGAGCTATGGTACAAGAAACAAACATCTTTTACTCATAAAGTATTAGTGATAGAAAACAAAATTATTTAAATCTCATTAAAGATCAGTTTGAAGATTTATATATCAGACAGTTTTAATGCACAGAATATCTACGACACACTTTTTCTCTCCATAAATTAATCTTAACTTGCTAAAAGAACTTCATACTGTAGGGCAGGACCATTTATTTCATATTTATAACACAGAAATAATTAAAAAGCTTTCATTAAAAAATTTTGATATGTATAAAGTATAATTCAAAGGATATATTACAAAGTCAAAGGAATTTCAACCCTTAACCATCTAATTTCAACAGTATTTCGCACATAGCTATGACTCACAATTTCCACGTAATATTTAAAGGCACTGCTTTCCTTGATTAAAATAAAAAAAAAATATTACAACACCAGCCACACATTGTGATGATAAAAAATAAAAAAGTTTAAAATGTAGGAAACAAAATAAAATAAAGTCAATCTAAAATGAAGTCTACTACAATCTGAGAGCACACAAAGATAAAAGTAGAATGAGCAATACAGACAATAGAATCAAACAATACCTTAAGTTAACAGTATTGTAAAGAATTGAGAAAAATTGCAATAATTTACAATAAAGTAGCCGTTTGGTCAATTGCCCAATCTTCTTGTCTCTTTAAATCATAAAACTATAAAATACACTATATATACTAGTACCTTAGCTACGGCTAATATAAACTGTGTAAATATTATTAAATTTATACTTATATGATACTTGTTTGAATCAGTTATTTAACCAATACTGAAAAGGTGTTAAACCTAAGCATCCACTAAATTATTGCCAAAGTAAGATGTGGCTTTATATTATATCTGGGTCCATCAATTATCAATTATTTATAGCTATTATAAGACATCAAGTCATGCCTGTCTGTAACTTTCATCTCTATGAACTTTTAAGATTTCTTTTTGGTATCAATAAATCTTTGATGGTGATGAGTGCTGCTGTCAATGCCTGTACCATGCCCCTTGCACACGTGTTTGGAAGTGAGATACGGGTGTAACCAAGTATGCTTGTTGAGGCTGTTGGACAACTGCCAGAGGTATAACTTGCTGCGCCATTTCTACTGGTTGGCCATTGTCTTCCGATACTCCAAGAGGTTGCACGCAGTGCTGTTGTGCAACTTGCTGAACACCTTGTTGAGTCAACACTTGTTGGTGTTGGCTCACTTGTGGCACCAACATTTGCTGTTGCATTGTCTGTTGTTGCTGTGGTTGCTGGTGTATAACAACATGAGGACCCTGGTTTTGCATCTGTTGGTGTTGTTGTACCTGCACTTGTTGTACTTGCTGTTGTTGATGTTGCTGTACTTGCTGCTGCTGCTGTTGTTGTTGCTGCTGTTGCTGCTGCTGTTGTTGAGCTTCTTGCTGAGCCTGTTGTTCCCTTTCTTGTTCTTCTTTTTTCTTTGCCTCCAAAGCTGCCTTTTTAGCCTCAGCTTTCTCCTTCTCTTGTTGTATTCTCACAGGATCTTTGTTTTTGTCATATGACATACATTTACCACTGCGGAAAGGCACCATGTCTTTTGGAATATCTTGCTTTTTCGTCGCGAACTTCACATGGGGGAACTGATCCTTCATAAATGCTCGGAAAGTTGAATAACCCATAAGTTTTACACCAGGTTCCAAAATTTCACCATATTCTTTGTATGCCTCAAATAAGTGCTTACGGGAGTCACCTTGTATAATAACTGTTTTGCTTGTTTTCTTCCCTCCTTCACCAGATGGCTGTACATCTTTTGGAGAACTTGCATGTTGTTTTAAATATTCCTTGAGGAAATTAGTTGCATGTTTGTAAATATCTAATGTAAATGTGTTATATGGCTTCTTACCAACGTTACCATGAATCCGCGGCGCAACACCGTGCGTCATTACATGCTGCCTAATCCGCTTGAGCTGATAGTGTGTAACATTCTCCAAGTATAAGAAAGCCTCTAAGCAAACCTTTCTCCCTTGATATACATAACATGCTCTTAGTCTCCTCCTGACTTTATGGCGAGATGTCTCAGCAGGATTTGCCAAACTTGCCATTGTGATACCCATCAAATACATGTCATGTTCACTTTTTGTTAATTCTGCAATATTTAGTCTGTGGCGATACACAGCTTCTGGATTAAGACCTCTATAGCAGTTGTCTTTGCAATCACAGCCTCGTTTCAGTCTTTCCTTTACCTGAAAAATGTTAAACAATCATGTTTACTTTATGAACTTAGTGTATGTTACTATAACCTTATCAATAACAATTATAATATCCATATATAACATTCTGAACTTTATGAATGATCACATCTCATCAGCACATTCAACTTCTACAAACATAAATCACCATACCTATGATGTTGCTCCTAGCATTGATCAATGTATTTGACATCTGGCATTTGTTTGAGATGGTTAAATGAATTGTGCCTTTTATATATATTTGTAATAGAAAAGTCTATGACACTCACTGGTCATGATGGAATTAACATCTATAAAATTAACAAATTTATCACATAGTTCTTTATGTGGGTCTCTTGTGTTCACTTAAAACTAAACTACTTGATAGAAATTAATGCAATTCTCACAAACATTTAAAGAACTACTTAAGAAAGATTTCTGCATAGTAGTACATGGAGAACTTATGTAAGGATAGTGGAGAAATGTAAATAACACTAATAAACAACTTATATTTTCTTTATATTTAATTTTTTTTCTCTATCAGACTGTGTATAAATCCATTGCTAGAAATAGACTTTTCTCATTGTAGGAAGTCACCATGCTTGAAAGCGAAAAATCCTATTTTACAACCACCCAAGGGTAGAAACGGAATTGATGGATTGTGTTATGTTGCCACAACATAATAAATTCAGTATTATCCTACAGTTGTATCATAAAAAAATCAAAAATAGCATAGAAATATTATGTACAGGCAGATGAGTATTTTTATAGTTACTCACTAATTTTGAACTCATTGTTAGGTTAACTCATTTGTTCACAAGTAATCCTTACAAATAAGTCAATCTAGGAGATAGTTGACACTATGGTGCAAATTGAACTTTGTGCTATCAGTATCTGACATATTGCAGAAAATCCACTCCAATCATAATGAATGAAACGGGCGCTTCTTATGGATCTGTGCCTTGGTAAAACAATGATTTACAAGTCACTGAAGCCTCTATGTCAGAATTCATCAAAAATGTTGAATAATTAGTATTCAAAGATGCCAGCCTGGAAAAAAACAGTTTATCTGCATTAGTTAGTAGCAGAAGTATTAGATACAACTATATTGAGAATGCTGCACAATCATCTTATCATAACAAGTGTCAGTGCAAGATGGGTACCAAAAATGTTTAAGCCACTTTAGGCAAATTTGCATTGAAAGTGATTATAAAACATAGGAATTTGAGTCCAGCTGAAGGCTACTTTGGTTCATTTTCAGAATACACAAAGCAAAACATATGTTCAGCTGAAGGAAAATTACATTATAATATTTAAAAGGACTTTCTCTTGTATGTTACCAGAAAGTTAAATGCACCTTTAAATTTTGCATTTTAGCTCTTACTAACAATTTTGTATGAAATTTCTTATGGAACTACACAAATTACACCACATATTAATTGGGACAGGGTGGTGGACTCTTCCTTCCTTTTTTCTTTCTTCTTTTTAAGACCTTAACAGAAGCGAAGAGAACAACACTTACATGCAAATAGGCTATTATTTATTCATAGGAAATACAATATATTTAATATGACTAATGTAATTTAAGAAATAATCTCGCTGTGAGCTTGCACCTGGAATCGGCTATAAGCCCCTATACATTATTCCTGCTAATGGGTGCATTGACATTGGACAAGAGGAAATGCTGTCCGAGGATGATATTGTTCTTGTTGGGGAAAACACACTTAAAGTTCAGAGTAGACTGGCAAAATCTCTCTCTTCTATTGCCTTAAATGGGATATCCCTACCAATCTGCTCCGAGTTTCGGTCTTCCAGTCTTTGATATAGAATAATGGCAGGATAGACAGAGACATAAGGAATAGAGTAAATGGAGGATGGATGAAATGGCGACAGGTCACAGGAACAACTTGCGATACGCGGTTTCCAATTAAGCTCAAGGTGAGATGATGAGATCTACAAGATGAACATAAAAACTATCATGTTTTATGGATCCGAGTGCTGGCCTACGAAAGAGATATAAGAGTGTACGAGATTGAAATTGGATAAAGTCAGAAATTCATTTATCACAGGAAGTTTGCAAGTGTCATGGAAGAGATTAGAATTGATAGGCTAGCATGGTATGAGCATATTATGCAGTGGGAAGAAAATCATATTATATAAGAAGAATGTTGGCTATGAAAGTGGATTAATATAAGAGTAGAGGATGGCTTAAGAAAAGATGGATAGGCTGTATCAAGGAATATCATCCTTAGAATAGCATAAGAATGGAGTGAGTGAGGAGATGGCGGCTAACAGAGGCGAATAGAAGAGGAAGACATGATATCACGAAGATATGCTATGCTGACCACAAATAACTTGGGAAGAGCAGGATTTTTTATAAAGTATAAAAAAGCTTTGCCCATAAACTGAAAGATAGCAAATAGTGGCTAGTGACTACAGCTGTTAACTTTTATTAAATCATTCATAACAGAGATACTGTTCTTTAACATACCAATATTTAATTAACTTTAAGCAAATGAATCCACCACACACCCCAGCCCCTGAATGTTGTCGGAGGTAACTAAAGGAAATGCCCTTAGAAATGTAACTTCCAACAGATGATAATATCTATTACCATCTCATGCCAGACGTAAAAAACATGAACCAGGGACAAATGTGTAACATTGGGAGACCTGCCAAACACCAATTACTGATATTGTCTTTTCTAGGAAACTCATGCCTTGCTGTGTGTTATTTTTTACGTGGTAGAGCCATGCTGCAGCTATATAAGTAGCATATTTGTAGCACGAATGGGTCGGCTCGACCGGAGAAGGACACCGCTCTCACATAATACCAGCGTAAAATAGCAGCTTAATGCTGCTGTGTTTTGTATGGTGAGTGTAGAGAACCAGAGACCTATTTTACTGGAAAATCTTAGTCCTCACGGCTGACAATGCACCTGCATTTTGATTCGCAAACAAACATAGATGTAGATGTCTATGGTCCACAGCAAACACTTACCATCAGGTGGACTGTGTGCTCGTTTGTCACCCTGATTCTATAAAAAAAAAGTATTACAAAATTGGGACCAATTCTTAGGTTCAAATAAACAAAAAATAACATTTTGCACATAACACAAATTAGTATCTATATTTCCAACTGTATTAGAATTAAATTCTCTATAGTCTATACATATGCGGTCTGATCCATTACGCTTCCTAACTGACAAAATAAAACCAGAGAAGAGATTTGCTTAGACGAATCACACCCGCTACTAAAAGTTCATTACACTCATTACGAACAATTTCACGTTCACACATAAATGATAAGGTCTCCTCTGTACAATTTTATTAGGATTTACTAATCTTCTCTTTCTCCCGTTTTTACTCTACCAGTTGGAGTTCCCACAACAAACGACTTTACAAAATTATGAAGAATTTCCCTTAAAATTATAAATAGAACGATGGTAAAATCAGTGTCGATATTATTAAATCTAGTCACAGCTCTACCTACTTTGCAAATATTAACAACGCTAGACTTCTTAACTGTTAGATTATCGGATGAAAGTTCTACTATAAAACCTAGACCTAATAAATCACGTCCTATCAGTATATCATTATTCAAATATTTATTGGGTATAATGTGAAATATTATTTCTAAAATATAGTAGTAACATTTTAAATGGAGAAGAACTGAGCCCTGCTGAATCCACTGTTTTTCTTGGCATCACTCTCGACACAAAGCTTCAGTGGGGCCCCCATATATCCAAACTAGCAAGCAGAATAAGTTCTGCAGTCTATGCTGTAAAAAAAATTAGAGGTCTCACTAGTGTCGAGACAGCTAGATTAGTTTATTTCAGTTATTTCCATAGCATAATGTCTTAGGGGATTTTGCTATGGGGAAATGCGGCTGACTCTGAAACTATTTTTATTTTACAGAAGAGGGCCATTAGAGCTATTTACAACCTAAAACCGAGAGTCTCTTAGAGATAAATATATTAACTTTGGCCTCTCAGTATATTTACGAAAATTTAATGTATGTTCACAAAAACAAAGGTAGTTTTAGTAAAATAAGTGATATACATTCTGTAAACACTAGGAACAAACACAAGCTAATGATACCAGTTTCTCGACTCCACAGAGTCAGTAATTCATTGTTGGGGCAATGTATACGCTATTACAACAAGGTCCTGGAAAGTGTACAGGCTCTTTCTATTAGCAAGTTTAAATGTTTTGTTAAGTTGAAACTGTATAAAAAGGGTTATTATAGTATAAATGAATACATGGTTGATAATAACCCCTGAGAATGAGGTGATCGCTTCCAAGCTGTTTCTAAAATAAATTTTGTACTTATATAGTTTGTACAACCATTATTGTAAAATTTGATTTAAAAAAATAGTCCCGCTGGGTTTCTTGCTGGTTCTTCCCCGGACAGAGGTTTTTTTTTCGAACCAGTGGTAAAGTAAAAAATAACTTTCAATAAGAATTACACATGTGATCTATATTGAATAAAAAATTATTCTATTCTATTCTATTAAATATGAATGCACTATCTCACATTTAAAAGCTTATTAGTTATTAGATCACACATGAGTGCAATGGGACAAATATGTGCCTACACAATTGCACATACATTTGTTACTACTAGGGTGGATACCCTTTTACCAGCCTTTCCATATCAATTTCAACTTTAAAAATTTGTGCTAATTAAAGCATATATAATATTTGTAAACACTTTTGAAACAGAAACTTTTTTTATTCAATATAGATTATAAATAATACTTATAGAAAGTTACTCTTTTGTTTAATTACCACTGGTTCGAAAAAAAAAACCTCAATCCTGGGAAGTCCCAGCAAGAAACCCAACGGGACTTTTTAAAAAAAATAACAGCTTACAATCATGTATGTTACACAAATTAACAACACAATAAATTAGAAATAGCTTGTTGGTAGCCATCACCTAATTTCCAGGGGTTATTATCATCCATAAATTCTTTAATATTATAATAACCCTTTTGATTGATTAAAAACATACATTTACAATTATATTACATCAAGAACTATTGTAGGTAAATTTATTGAGACAGAAGTATATTCATAACAACTTCCAGTTTGAACACCTTACTGTATTTTGATTTTAAGAAGTATGCTTTTTCATTGAAAACTATACAATTGATTAAAAGAAAATTGTGATAAAAACATGTAGCAATTTTTTTCCCTCTGTCGCCTCTTACGACACCCAAAGTATGATATGGGGTAGTGGATATTCTTACACCGGCACTACACGGTCTACTGTTGTCTAAAGTCTAAAAATTAAAATGGTCCTAATTAATGATATTTATTCCAGTTTGTGACAACCGTCACTTATATTACATGTCTGAAATTAGGAACTTCTTATTAAGTATGTCAAACCAAACAGCCCCATACTCCACCCACCTACTAAAAGAAAATAAATAATTTATAAATTTATTAAAAAATAACTGCATTACTGTCATATATAGACAAATTCATGCAAGAGCCTAAAGATGGGATAATGTAAAAAAAGCTTAATTTTATTGGGACCATAACTAGTCAAAAAATTAAAAAAAAACAATGAGTGCAGTCCATTGCATAGTTGTTTTGATTTTTTTAAATATAACACTGATATATTTATAACTGTGTGGTAATGTTTGAAGTATACTTTCCTCTAATTATGATGAACTTTTTAGTTGACAACATTTATAGTTAAGACCACTGGAAACCTTAATTTTGTAGTAAAAAGATGAAAATACTAGTGTTAGGGGGCGGTGCTGGTACTAAGGGCCACATTGTTATAATACTGCAACTATTGTATTTCCTTCACAGTTGGAAATTATCTAAGTAGTTATAAGGTGTAATTATGGTCTAAACCTGCCAAGAGTATATTATGAAATAGAGATGACTGATATTCCTGTTTTACAAGTTAAGTAACAGTCGCAACTTGCAATAATATAATTTTTTGTTAAAATTAAAAATATATAACATATTTAATTATCATAATATGTTGCACAAGTATTTTTATAATATTTAAAAACATGTAACTCATAAATAAAATTAAGCATAAATTGGCTATTTATATTACCTGTGATGGGTTATCTTCTAATTTGTTATCAAAAACATCCTCATCACTGTCTGATTCTGCTACCTTTTTCTTTTTTTTCGCTCCAGCTTTTTTCTCAACTTTCGGTTTTGTATCAACTTCCATGTCTCCTGGGTCCCCATCAACATTTGCTTCAAATTCTATACTGTATGCACCTGGTATGCCCTGTATATTACCATCTCCATTTTCTACCTGTATTGTATGACCTTGCCATAGAACCTGCAAATTTATAGTTTAATATAAAATATAATTTTAATTATTTAATTGTTAAATAAAAAATTCTTATTGTTAGGTATGCAAGTGAAATATTAACAAATATACCTGTTCTTGGTGTCCATTGTAAGTATGTTGCTGCATATTTTGTGAGTTACCCAATTCAAAAACAGTGTGTTGCCCCATGACTGGAGTGTGCCACTGGACACTTTCGCCATACTCTCCTCCACCGTTTTGGTCGGACGGGATAGAAACTATGATCGCTTCTTTGCTGTCGACGCTACGACGCTCCACGGATAATAGAGAATGTAGCACCTCACTTGCTTCCTTCTCTGCCGGGTTCACCACCTCCATCTTCTCGTAAGACATAACGCCCGCTCCAAGTTACACTACAACCGATTGTTCACGTCAATCCACATGTACCTACTTACATACGTCTATGTACAAAGCAATGAGCGACACGACAAACCCGCCCTGAATGGTACTATATCTCACAACCCCACATTACAGAATACATACGAGAAAACCGCGATAACTTTTCAAATTCATGTAAATAAACATAACAAAAACCGTGCAATTATTAACCTTAATCGCGTTTTTTAAGTTTCATTATCGCATAGCGGATCGAACTCCCGTGGAATATTGGGCCATATAGTCATACCAGAGAAAGAATGAAACTCACCTTTTTCGCGTAAAATCAGAAGCTGAGACGCTTTAATTGATATTCCCTCAGTTAAACGTTGATCGTGGTTTGTTTTCAATCACTTCATATTTATACTGTAGTCATGATTGAAGAGAAATGCACAAATATTTTACAAAATTCACAGAAGCAATATGGCGTTACACTTTCCGTGAATAAAATCGGAGGACGCCGCAGAACACGTCATTAGTACAGTGCGCATCCACTAGACAGCGCTGTAATCGATGTTTCCGAAACGACGACGCTTCATTTCGGATTACCGCGAAAATTTAAACAAATAAATTACATATTCAGGTGCAGGAATGAATACATTATATTTTAGTGAGGCTGTTATAAAAATAATGCCTTTTATAAATTTCTATATTATATTTCTTTTTCTTACAATTAAGTATAAGTATATAGTACCTATATTATTGCCTTTTGTTGAATGATTAAATATAATATTTCCATTTCATTGTTGAAACTATATTTAATATTCACCTCTGTTTGACCGGACATAAAGAAATAAATAAAGAAGGTATTTATGGATATGGGTGAAGGGGAAAATTAAAATAGAGAAGAGCAAGTAGCATAGTTTATTACCAAATTAGTACCTACCTACACTAATACCATTATTTATTCTGTGCCTAGTAGTGCCTACACAAATCGTAGGTAATGCCCTTTTTATTTTGTCTGAGGTAATGCCTGGATTGCCAACTTATATATTTAGGGTCTTCTCCCTAAATTTAGGGGGTAAATATGTGGGGTGGGGTTTTTAGGGGCTTTATATTTTTAGGGACTTTTATATTTATTTTCCACTTTAGCTGATATTTGTTTAGAAGTTTACGACGATTGCGGCGCAGCTGGCTGTAAACCTTTTGAAAATGTCTCAAATTTCGGATTGTATGTTTTGCATTAATTATCGCGGTTCCAATTTCTTGTCATCTATTGAAATGCTATCAAGTGTGATAATGATCTAATTCACATTGCAACGATATAACGCATCATTTATAACATTTAATCCATTATCTAAAAAGTATGTTTATTTAATATGTGTATCTAATTGTATGATTTTAATATTTCAGAACCATTAGAAGAAAACGAAATACTTAATATTTCAAATATTAAATAATTTAATTATAAAGAACATTACAAAGCATTGTACTTACTTAGGTATTTTAGGGCTTTCCAAGTAAATAAAGTGATTTCAGGGGTTTTTGAGTTAAACCTTTAGGGGTAAATATTTTTGGCGTTGGCGTCGCTGAGTAATGAAAATGGAGTTAGTTGGAGTTTTGGGGGGAACTTACCCGTCGGCGCGGCGGTTCTCTTGTTTAATTTAGGTTGATTAAAGTTTATTATGATACGTATAAATGTGATGCGATTTTATGTATTACATGTGAACGAAGTGGGAACGATGGACCAATGCTCCGTTGTCAATTTATACCAAGTTATTTTGTCTAGGCGCTTTAAGAACTCTGTTGTCATCGACTGTCTAGTTCTATAAGCTGTCGTTGTCGAAAACTCCCAACAAAAGCTCCACAATGTGATTAACATAATAATATTGTGAGTATATTTTAACAAATTATTTTATAATATGATAAACTCCTATTAGTAGGCTTACCAACCTTGGCGTTTGGTGTACGAAAATTTCAAGCGCAATACGGGACGTAGCTAAAAAAGCGGGACAAAGATGTATGTAAAGCGTAAATTTTTTTTTCAGAAACTAGCTAGTACCTAGCCAGAGCGTTTTTTTTTTATAGAATAAGGGTGATGGTAAGTGGACGCTGTGGCCCATGGACATCTATAGAGTCAAAATGCAGATGGGTTGTCACTCCTGAGGACTATTATGGAATGCCTCATTTCCAGTAAAAAGGGTCTCCGGTTCTCTACACTCACCATACGAAACACAGTGTGGCGGCGCTGTCGTCGCGCCACAAGCGAAACACATCGAAGCCTAAATCGCACTAACAAAGTTCCGAAGTAAAAGCAGTATATATATATAATAGCTCCGAAATACCAATTGGAGCGTTGGCCGCTCCCCGGGCAGAACATCTTGCCCGGTGGGAGATCTCCCCTTTTCCTTCCACCGGCTACAGTGGTGACCCCGACGTGATATGAACACGCAACCAACAACCTTCGGAAACTACAACTTTCAAACCTTCATCATCCTCCTCAAGTACCCCATTCAGTCGCTCCCGAGCAGATATTGTCTGCAGTCTTCACATACTGCAAGCCATCTAGCTTTACAAAGGTTCATCGCAGCACTGGAATAATAATGCTTCCTGTTCCTTCAAGCTACTCTCTGCGCTACAGTGTTCGGCACGGCTCTGAGCCTTACTGCTCGCCTCTGCTTCACGGCACTCTCGCAGATTACTTGCCTTCTTCTCGACTCACCGCAGACTTACAAGGCAATTCCCTAGCACTTGCAAATTCGTCGACATCTAGACTGCACTATCGACCTCCGGTCTGAGCAGGGGGGTGATGTGGCGGCGCTGTTGTCGCGCCACAAGCGATACACATCGAAGCTTAAATCGCACTAACAAAGTTCCGAAGTCAAATCAGCATATATATATCATAATCGGAGCGTTGGCCGCTCCCCGGGCAGAACACCTTGCCCGGCGGGAGATCTCCCCTTTTCCTTCCACCCGGCTACAAAAGCATAACACTAGTATTCTCCGAGGACCGTGGTCCTTCCTCGGTCGCGCCGACCCATTCGTGCTACAACCATATATCATTATATAATATAGCTATATCATGGCTTTACCACGTACCTACATACACGGCGTTGCTGCCGCAGTAGAAATAATTGTGGTAATATCGTTTTAAATTTGGAAGAGTTATATTGTTTAAGTAAATAGGAATGATAATACATTCATTGAAATTGAATGATATATTATAACTTTCGAACAAATTTGTTGGTACGTTAGGCCGTATACAGAAAGAAAGCTGGCAGCCTATCAGTGCTTATAGGGACCGATCCACGCAGGTAACCGGCGCAGGCATTTATATGAACAGGCGCCGATAAGCGCCGATAAGCGCCGAACGTCACCGACAGGTTCCGACAATCTTCGACACGCGCCGGTCAGCGCTAGCGCCGCCCGCCATTTAAAATTAATGAACAACTATACGACAATACGTACAACTACGACATGCATAATATATTTTTGTTAAATACACATACAAATGAGGTGTTGATTGTACGGAAGACGGCATATCAAGGGTAACACTTAAGCTCTGTGAACTTGAAACCCGAACTCAAAAAAAATAAAAAATAAAATAATTGATACATATTCTACAAACAACGCAGATGATTGTAATGCCGTTTATTCGTTTGTAGTCCTGAAAAATCTTCTGATAATTACTAAAAGTTGTAATTTTCATTAAATATAATAGTTTTAGAAAAATCTTGATTACCTATGCGTTAAGAATCGTTTGTAGATGATTTTAATACCGTTTATTTGTTTGTAGTCTTAAAAAATCTTCCGATAGTTACTAAAAGTTGTAATTTTTCATGATATATGAAAATTTTCGAAAAATCTTGATATCAATGCATTCAGCATCGTTTGTAGATGATTGTAATACCGTTTATTTGTTTGTAGTCCTAAAAAATCTATGTCGCGCTCAATAAATGTAATTATTGTAATAATTTAAAAAAATAATTATTCCTAAAAACAGTACCTACCAATGTATTTCTAAGACTTCAATGGGAGAATTAGAATTTTTTCAATTATTTTCTACCATTGAAACACGAGAAAAACTTAAAAATGTAAAAAAGGCGGCGCCACGTTCATGGCGCGAGTAATTAAGAGTTAAATAACTATGCTAGTAGATTATAGAGTAGACTACTATTAAAGCATTCAGTTGAATTAAAAAGAATATAAACTATTGGAGAGTTGACCACAATGGGCTTTTACTATAATCTCTTATGTATTTGGAGACTAAAGATACTTAACATCGGGTCAGGCAGATGAAGTTGGCTCAGCTGCAAAACGCATGCGCAACTGCTTCAATTATAGAACAGAAAGGTTATAGTAATCCAGAATCGATAAACGATGCAGATGATTGTAAAAAGATATATTTGCTTGTAAGTTATGAAATTTTCTACTTTCCGATCTATCTCAGTGGCAGATGCATTCAAAATCGTTTGTATAGTGTGTCAAGAAAGTCACGAAAAGAATATTTGTGGAACTACTGCTTTTGCTTGCACTGGCAACAATCAATTATTGTCAAACTGAGTAACTCAGCTGTCATATTGTAGCTTTGTAGTTGATGTGTTCTAAGATTTTTTTGTTATATTTAGAGTTTTTCTTATCGTATGACTGTTTAGTCTTTAGAGATCAAAAATGAAACGCAGTATTTATAAGAGCGGTACCAGACAATTCATATTGTTGTTAGTGTTTAGTGTTTCAACAGTGTATGGCCGAATTTCAAGCGGGAAAGTTTAGTAGTCAGAAATACATTGGCAGGTACTATTTTTAAGAATAAGTACGTTTTTGAATTATTACAAAAATTTAATTTATTGAGCGCGACATAGATTTTTTAGGACTACAAACAAATAAACGGTATTACAATGCTACAAACGATGCTGAATGCATTGATATCAAGATTTTTCAAAAATTTTTATATTTCATGAAAAATTACAACTTTTAGTAATTATCGGAAGATTTTTTAGGACAACAAACAAATAAAC